TTCCAGCTACTTGGAAGGCTGAGGTGGAAGGATCGCTGGAGCCCAGCAGGTCGAGGCGGCCACTGCAGTCCAGTTTGGGCAACAGAGTGAGACTCCAACTCAAAAAAAAAAAAAAGAAGAAGAAAAAACAGATAAAGTGGATTTCATCAAAATTAAAAACTTTTCAGCTGCAAAGGACATCAAGAAAGTGAAAAGATAACCCACAGAACGGGAAAAAAATGTTTACAAATCATAATCTAACAAGAGGTTTATATCTAGGTTATATAAAGAATTCTTATAACTTGGTAATAAAAAGAAAAATAACCCAATTTTTAAAATGAGCAAGGAATCCAAATAGGTATTCTCCCAAAGAAGATATACAAATGGCCAATAAGTGCATGAAAAGATGCTCAAACACCATTAGCCACCAGAGAAATACAAATCAAAACTACAAGGAGTTACCACTTCATACGCACTAGGAAGGCTTATAACCAAAAACACAGATAAGTGTTGATGAGTATGTGAAAACCTGGAACGCTCGTACATTGGTGGAAATGTAGAATGGCATAGCCACTTTTGAAAACAGTCCAGCAGTTCCTCAATTAAACACAGTTACCATAGACCCAGTGGTTCCACTCCTAGGCATATTTCCAAGAGGAATGAAAACGTATGTCCACAGAAATACTTGTATAGAAATGCTCACAGCAGGATAATTCTTTTTTTTTCTTTCTTGTTTTGAGTAGGAGTCTCACTGTGTCACCCAGGCTGGAGGACAGTGGCACACTCACAGTCACTGCAGCCTTGACTTGCTGGGCTCAGGCAATCCTTCTGCCTCAGTCTTCCAAGTAGCTGGAACTACAGGCACACACTACCATGCCCTGCTAATTTTTTGATTTATTGTAGAGATGGGGGGGGGTCTCACCAAGTTGCCCAGGCTGGTCTCGAACCCCTGGTCTCAGGCAATCCTCTCACCTTGGCCTACCAAAGTGCTGGGATTATAGGCATGAGCCACCATGCCCAGCCTAGGATAATTCATAATAGCCAAAAAATGGAAACGATCCAAAAGCCTATCAACTAATGAATGATAAGTAAAATGCAACATATCCATACAATGGAGTATTATTCAGCAATAAAAAGAAACGAAGCAATGATATATGCTACAACATCGATGGACCTTGAAAACATATATTAATTCTCTGTGAAACATGTAAGTCACAAAAAAAGCACATGTAACTCCATTTATATAAAATGTTCAAAATGGGCAAATCCAGAGAAACAGAAAGTAGAGGTCTTTGCCTAAGAATACTGGGGAGAAACCAAGGGTGGCTGCTAATGGCTAAGGTTTTTTCTGGGGTAATAAAAATGTTCTAAAATTGGCTATGGTGATGGCTGCATTCCTCTGTGAATTGTAGCTCAATAAAGCTGTTATGAAAGGATACTGGCTGGGTGCAGTGGCTCAGCCTGTAATCCCAGCACTTTGGAAGGCCAAGGCGAGAGGACTGCCTGAGCCCGAGACCAGCCTGGGCAATCTGATGAGACATCGTCTCTACAACAAGTCAAAAAATAAGCCAGGCATGATTGCGTGCACCTCTTGTTCCAGCTACTTGCAAGGCTGAGGTGGAAAGATCACCTAAGCCCAGCAGGTTGAGGCTGCAGTGGCCATAAGCATGCCATAAGCACTCCAGCCTGGGCTAAAGAGTGAGACTCCAACTCTAAAAAAGAAAAAAGAAAATATACTTATTTCTGGTGCTAGCAATGTTATGTTTCTTCATTTGGATGCTGGTTCCACAAGAGCATTTACTTTGGAAATTCCACAGTCTACACTTATGACTTGCACTTTCATGTGGTATCTCAGTATTTTTTTAAAAATTGTACTCCAGGATGTGGCTATTTTAGTTCATATAATTTATCTAGTTTGAAGGTTATAACTTAGATTTCTTAAATTCTGCTTCATTTTATGTTCCAATCTAGAATGCTAGTATTGCTAATAAATTTCTGTCCAAATTCCACCAAAAATTTAATTCATCTGAATTTTGTTATGAGGCATGTAAATAGTACTTGTAGGGTACCTGAGTGATTCTAAAAACAATTTATTCTCTCAAAAGTTTAAACATACACACCTCCTCATTTCCTTGTGATTTATATTACTCACTTTTTATTATTAAGAGAGCTCACTGGATGAAGGAAAACTTAGGTTAATCCAATGGTATTTTATGGCTCTATATTATAGCTTTTAATAGGTTAGTTATTTTTATCCAATGTATTTTTTTTTCATATTCATGAGCAAATATATTTTTCACTTGAAGTTGGAAAGACTAAATATACTATCAGGGACAGGTGGCAGTCAAATGACAGGTGACAGGTAACCTCCTAAGCCAACAAGCCCAGTCTATGAGTGCACTGTGACCTAAGTTGTTAATCAGAAGAAAATCAAATCTTCAACAGTTTGGGGAAGAAAAGCACACTATCCTCACCTTCCTACCCCCTAAGTATTACTTTACCACAAGTAAACCAGCCTGAGAACATATATAATCAAGACCAGGTGACAGCCAAGAGAATAACAGAGACTTAGCTGTTTTAATACTGTGAACCCCTTGATCAAATCATTCCTAATGTCCACAGTACTGCTGGATTTCTCAGGTATGTAAGCTAATAAATCTCCTTTGTTGTTAAGTCAATCTAAACTGGGTTTTAAGGTACAGTTGGCCGGGCTTGGTAGCTCAGCCTGTAATCCCAGCACTTTGGGAGGCCAAGGCAAGTGGATTGCCTGAGCTTGTGGGTTCGAGACCAGCCTGGGCAACTTGGTGACAATAAATCAAAAATTAGCCAGGTGTGGTAGCACATGCCTACTTGGAAGGCTGAGGCAGAAGGATCGCTGGAGCCCAGCAGATTGACGCTGGGGTGGCCGTGAGCATGCCACTGCACTCTAGCCTGGGCGATGGAGTGAGATTCCAACTCAAAAAAGAAAAAAAAGTACAGTTGTCCCTTAGTAGTTTGAGGAGATTCGTTCCAGGATCCCCTCAGGTACCAAAACCTATGAATGCTCAAGTACCTTATCAAACATGGCATAGTATTTGCATGTAACCTACCCACAACTTCCTGTATACTTTAAATTATCTCTATATTAATTATAATATCTAATACAATATAAATGCTTTGTAAAAATAGTGATAATGTATTTTTTATTTGTATTATTTTTCATTATTATATTGTTTTTTTTTTATTGGGACTTTTTCAAATACTATCAACCTGTAATTGGTTGAATCCACAGATATGGAACCAATTAACAGATACAGAGGGTCAAATGTACTTCAAACAAAAAGACTTCCTAACTGATACAGTTTTCAAAAGTTGGACACAGTGGTGTGTGCCTTTAATTCCAGCTCTTGGTAAGTTACTTAGGAAGATTACTTGAGCCCAAGAGTTCAAAACCAGCTTCATCAACACAATGAGATCCCACCTAAAAAATAGTTAATTAATTAATTTGAAAAGTTGGTCCTTGTTCTTTGCCAACAAGGCAAATCTAGGTAAATACTTAATTACTTTAAAGCAGAAGATATTTTACCTTGGCTTCCAACTGATTGGCAAAAAAGGGAGGGTTGCACATGCAAAAGTCATAGATTATTTCAGATTCTTCTTTGAGAGCATCCATCAAGAGTGTCTTCTGCGGCACTTTTACCACTAGGAGAAAAAATAGCAACTGTTAACTATTATTAATGTTGTAGTGGTTTTAAAATACAGTCATGTGCTACGTATCAACATTTTGGTCTACAGTGGATTACATATATGATGGTAGTCCTGTAAGATTATAATATTGCACTTTTACTGTACCGTTTCTATGTTTGATATATTTAGATACAGAAACACTTAGCATTGCTCAAACTGCCTACAGTATTTGGTAAAGTAATATGATATATGGGTTTGTAGCCTAGGAGCAACAGGCTATCCCATATAGCCTAGGTATATATTAGAATATATCACCTAGGTTTGTATTAAGCACACTCTATGATGTACACACAACCTCAAAATTGTCTAACAATGCATTACTCAGAATATATTCCTGTCAGTAGGCAACATATGACTGTATATCCACAAATTATTTCACACTACTCCCTTCAAAAGATGGAATTTAATCTCCTTCCCTTCAGGTGTAGTCTATACTTTAAGGACACTCGAGTTGCCCAGTGGAGATAACCCCTGGAAGTGAACTAAGGTTCCCTTCCAACAGCCATCTGAGTGAGCCATCTTGGAAGCAAATCTCTACTGTCAGTCAATCTAGATGACTGCAGCATTAGACAACCACCTTACAGCGAATTCAGGAAAGAACCACCCAACTAAGCCACACCCAAATTCCTGACCCATAGAGACCACGAGACAATAAACGTTTGTTTAAAACTTCTACACCAGCCTATGCAACATAGTAAGACCTTTTTTCTACAAAAAAAAAAAATGTTTTAAATTAGCCAGGTATAGTAGTACATGCCTGTAGCCCCAGCTACTTGGGAGGCTGAGGTTGTGGTGAACCATGCTCATGTCACTGTACTCCAGTCTAGGTGATAAAGTGAGACCCCTAACTCAAAAAAAATTAATTAAAAATGGATCACAGACTTAAATGTAAAATGCAAAACTATAACACTTCTAGAACATAGCAGAACATCTAGATGACCTTGAATATGATAACTTTTTAAATATAGTATCAATGGCCTAATCCTTAAAAGAAAAAATAAGCTGAACTTATTAAAATTAAAAATTTTGCTCTGTGAAAGACACTGCCAAGAGAATGAAAAGACAAGTCACAGTCTGCAAGAAAATATCTGCAAGATGTATCTGATAAAGGGCCATTAGCCAAAATAAACAAAAAACTCTTAAAATTTAACAATAAGAAAACGAACAACACGATTAAAAAAATGGCCAGGCCAGGCTCGGTGGCTCGGGCTGTAATCCCAGCACTTTGGGAGGCCGAGGGGCCGACAGGTTTGAGACCACCCTGGACAACTTGGTGAGCCCTCATCTCTACGATAAATAAAAAAATAGCCAGGCGTGGTAGCACATGCCTGTAGTTCCACTACGTGGAAGGCTGAGGCAGAAGGATCACTGGCGCCCAGCAGGTCGACGCTGGGGTAGCTGTGAGTGCATGAGTGTGCCACTGCACTCCAGCCTGGGTGAAAGAGTGAGAATCCAACTCAAAAAAGAAAAAAAAAGGGCCAAAGATGTCTGTTCAGGTATTCGGCCCATTTTTTTAATCGTGTAAAAAAAATAAAAATATACAGATGGCAAATAAGCACATGACAAGATGTTCCATTTTCTGAATGTTTTTGATATATGCTTAATCAATAAATTAAATATGATTAAATGGAAAAAAAAAAGAAAAGATGTTCCACATCAATGTCATCAGGGAAATGCAAGTTAAAACAATGAGTTATCACTACACACCTATTCAGAATTGTCGAAGTCCAGAACACTGACAACACCCAACGAGGAACACTCACAGAAATGCAAAATGGTACAGCCGTTTTGGAAGAGAGTTTGGCGGTTTCTTACTAATTAAACATACTGTTAACATATGAGCCAGCAAGCACACTTTTTGGTATTTATCCAAAGGAGCTGAAAACTTATGGGCACACAAAAACCTGCACATGGATGTTTCTCAAAATTTTACTCATAATTGCCAAAACTTGGTAGCAACCAAAATGTCCTTCAGTAGGTGAATGGATAAACTGTGGTACCCAAACAATGCAACACTAAAAAGAAACGTGCTAAAAATGAATTCACTTTCTGCAATTTTGAGGCAGTAGGGAAAAAAAGTAAAATTAAATTTAAAAATTAAAAAAATAAAAATAAGCTACCAAATAAATACTACTAAGTGAAAGAAGCCAATCTGGAAAATTTACAAAACTGTCTAATTCCAAGTATATGACATTCTGAAAAAGATAAAACTATAGAGATAGTAAAAAGATCAGTAGTTGCCAGTGTTTGGCAAGGAGTAAAAGATGAACAGTGGAAGGACACAGGACTTTTAGGGCAGTGAAACTATTCTATATATATTGTAATGGTAGATACACGTCATTTCATTTGTCAAAACCACAGAATGTATAACATCAAAAATGAACCTCAGTGTAAATTATGGGCTTTGGGTGATAATGGTGTTTCAATGTAGGTTCCTCAGTTGTAACAAATGTCCCATTCTGGTGGGGGAATGTTAACAATGGGGGAGGCTATACATGTGTGGGACAGAGGTATAAGAAATCTCTGAACCTTCCACTCAATTTTTCTGTGAATCTAAAACCTCCCTAAAAAATAAAGTCTATGATATACAAACAAACAAAAAACCTAACCACTTAAAGTCTCTGGAAATGGTCCTCAGGGCACATAGCAAATAAAGAAATATTTACTCAAAACAAATCTACTAAAATAAATGAATAGATAAGTTTCAGAAAGTAGGCAAATTCACAAATACAGAATCCACAAATAACCATAGTTAGTATTTTTTTTTTAGTTAATTGTAGTATCAAAACAGCAAGCCCAATTATAATGTGCAGGATTTTTAAAAAATTACCAAAGTCTGTGTATGGAAAAAAAAGATAATGAGATGTGTTAAAATAGAAAGACAAGTTAATAAACAAAGTTTGAAAGAGATATTTATTCTAGGAGCTAACCTTTTATGAGATCAGATAAGTTATTCTGTTCCACATTTTTCTTTGCATAGTTGAAACACATATCGTCCACTTCTGTTGCAAGGAAATACCAGCCATTTAAGGTTGCTCCAAGTAAGGGATAGATGCAAGATGCCCCCGTACCTAGTAAAATAAAAATTCAAAACACATTCTCCACACTAGAGGAAAGGGTGAGGATAATAATAAAGACACCATTCTTCTCTTCTCAGAATTCTTATAGCATTAGCAGTTAAATCACAGCAGGTAACTGATTTCACATGTACTGTGGTTACTGGGCTCTCTAGTCGATTTATGTATGTTAGCCTGTTTTCAAGATTAGATTCAGACTTCCCAGAGAAGAGAAACCTTGCTGTCCTCTATTGTATGTTGTATGTAAAATGAAATGCGCACAGAGGGCTAAAAATATATAACTTAAAGTGGTCAAAACTCAATTTGATTTACTTTATAGAAATTTAAAATCTCATACAAAATTCTATTTTCTTAAAATAAATTGGCTAGGTGCAGTGGCTCATGCCTGGGATTCCAGTGACTCAGGAGGCTGAGGCAGAAAGATCGCTTGAAGCTAGGAGTTTAAGACCATTCTGGGCCAGACACCATCTCTACAAAAAAATTAAAAACTTAACCAGGCATGGTCCCAGGACACTGAGACAGGAGGACCTCTTAAGCTCAGGACTTCAAGGTTGCAATGAGCCACGAACATGCCACTGTACTCTAGCCTAGACAACAGAGCAAGACCCTGTCTCTTAGGAAAGAAAAGAAAGAGAAAAAACACAAGGTGTAAAATTTTTATGATGGTAGTCCAATTTCCCACATCTCTGCAAGCTATTGCTTGAAAGAAATCAGAAGTTAAAAAGAGAGAGAACTTTTTTATTTTTTTTTATTTTTTTTTGAGTTGGAGTATCACTCTGTCACCCTGGCTGGTGTGCAGCAGCACACTTATGGCCACTGCAGCCTCAACCTGCTGAGCTCAGGCAATCCTTCCACCTCAGACTTCCAAGTAGCTGGAACTACAGGTATGTGCCACCATGCCTGGCTATTCTTTTTTATTTTATTTTATTGTAAAGACGAGGTCTCGCCAAGTTGCCCAAGGCTGGTCTCGAACCCCTGGGCTAGGGCAATCCTCTCACCTCCGCCTCCCAAAGTGCTGGGGTTACAGGTATGAGCCACTGTGCCTGGCCAGAACTCATTCCTTAAATGTGGAGACATATAAAGATATTTGATTCAGAGCCAAATATCAGAGTTATTGGTTAGTTAGCTCCACTACAGTTTCAAGGGACATATTCAGAGGCAAATATTTACGCAGAAAATATTACTCTCTGATAACTAGGGTTTGATCCTAAACTTGTATGTAAAATCTCCAGCTCTAGACTGGACCATATACTAACCACAAACATTGCTTTTACAATATTGACTAATCTTGGCCAGTTAGATCCTAAAGAGTATATTCAGGATAAGGAAAGCCAGTGTTTCTCAAAGGCCTATAGAAGCCAGACTATACCAACCACTCTAGGTCTGCCTTCCTCTGACCATACATCCCGGTTCCAGTCTAGACTTCTAAGTGGTTTGGCAGGAAGAGGCGGAGGCTAGACAAATTCCTAACCCGGGGGCTCATCATACTGTTTCCTCATTAAGTATTCTGAACAGGCTAGTTGAGAAAGGACAATAACTAAAGGCCAGCACATTTAAGGTCTTTGATAGTCACAGTGGTTGCTCTATTGCCTACTGTGTTGGTCCAGGAGTATCCTGGCCCTGATGCTACTTGGCAAACACCTGCTTGGGATTTGTGAGATGGTGAGGGAAGGGGTTGCAAAGGGGGATCAAGTTCTTCTCAGAAACCACAGTTATTTAGCTTCTGCTAGCCATTCTGGTAAGCCAGGGTCATTCAGAATAAGAAACTTTCAGTCACATACTTTTAGCTCTGGAGGAAAAAAAATCCAGAACAGATCCCAGGTCCTTGACTTTCATACAACTGTCTCTCTTCATACTTCAATTTTGTTTAAAAGGGAAAAAAAAGTATATTTACTTCAAGGGTAATAAATGCAGGTTAAAAAACCTGCCCCGCCCCAAAAAGTTTCTCAGTTATCAAAACCAAAAGACTTGCATTCTAATAGATTTGCAACAGATTCTTTACTAGTCCTTTATAGGACAGAACAGAAACCCCTTAGAAAGCCGAATGACTTTTTAAAATGGGTAATAATCTTTGTAATGATAAATAAAAAATGGAAAGTATGTAATCTTAGAATTAGAGCAAACCGATGGAGTCTGGGGGAAGAATTTATATAAAACCCTAATTAGAATGGATGTGATTTCAGTAAGCAGTGCCCCTTGTGAAGAGCTAAAATCCATTAACCTCCTATGTCCCCAAGTACTATTTTAGAGAGTCTAGAGCATAATTAAAATCAAATTAGTACCAAATAGGCTGTCAAGCCTTTTAAGCTGACTAGTTGAGAAGTTATTCTACAGACAAGGTGAAAGATGATGGTCACTTGAACAGGGATGACAGTGGAGATGGAGAGAAGAAGATGATTTAAGAAATCTTTAAAAGGGAAAAAACCAGAAATATTGATAGACATTCTTAGTGAAAATGGAAAGAAGCAAGTGTAAAGGATGACAGGGTGGATTATGGTCGATTCACTGACATAAGAAACGAAGGAAGAGAACCAGGATTTGGAGGATAGAGTATGAGTATGGTTTTGGACATGGGATGTTTTTCAAATATCCATTTCTCTCATATATATGAGACTAGAGGTCAAGTAAAGGAATCTGAGTTGGAGGAATATATAAATATGTGACTTATCTGCATGGAGAGGTGAAATAAAGTCACAGAAGTAAGTGAAATTGCCTAGAGTAGAGTGCTAAACGAGAAAGAGACTAAGCTGTAAGTAAGGAATACCAATAATTATGGTCAGTTATAGAAAGATAAGTGAGCAGAAGTGAAAGAAGAAACCAGAGGAGTCTGGTGTCGTGGAAACAAATGGAGGAGAATGCACAAAAGAGAATGGTGGGGCCAATAAATGCTGCCGAAAAGGTCATGTTTGATGAAGACTGAAAATGTTCACTGAAAATGCATATAAACATCAAAGTTAAACACTACCTAGAAATTATGATTGCTATTAACTATACTATACTTAGAAACAGAGTTGGAGTTGTTAATTTATCTTTCCTATAAAGGACTAGTAAAGGTCAAAGAATTAAAAAAAAAATTAAATCCTATCAAATGAAAACATTGGCTATCACAAACATATGGGGTCTGAAATTAAGTTCACAAATTCGCCACCACACGCTTATGCTGGCAGCACCATACAAACAACTTGGCAAGGTTTCACAGCCTTGGTATATCAGCGTCTCACAGCTATGCTCATGTTGACAAGTGGCAGTGTCTTGTTGAATGGCATTCATTATTGTTGTTGCATGTTTCTGTGTGCCATCATGAGAATGTTGGAGCTTGAATCAGAGCAACAAACAAACATTAAATTTCTTGTTAAACTTAGCAAAAGTAGAAGTAAAATCAGGGACATGTTAGTCCAAGTTTATGGGAATAATGTCATGGAGAAAACAGCAGTGTACAAATGGATTAAATGTTTTTCTGAGGATAGAGACAGTGTCACAGATGAAGAGAGATCAGGACAATCAATAACAAGCAGAACTGACGAAAGCATTGCAAAAATTCAACTACCTGTGCATCAAAATCGTTGGCTGACTGTAAGAAGCATAGCAGACCAAATAAACCCTGATAGAGAAATAGGAAAATCTTAACTGAAAACCTTGGCATGAGGAAGGTGTGTTCAAAAATGGTCCCAAAGGAGCTCTTGCATCACGACAATGCACCAGCTCACACAGCACTGTCTGTGAGGGAGTTTTTAGCCAGTAAACAAATAACTATTAGAACACCCTCCCTACTCACCTGATCTGGCCCCCAATGACTTTTTTTCTTTACTTAAAAGAAATATTGAAAGGAAGACATTTCGATAACATTTAGGACAACAATGGTAATATAACGACAGCTCTGATGGTCCCTCCAGAAAGAGAGTTCCAAAATTGCTTTGACGGGTGGACCAGGTGCTGGCATCTGCACACATCTTCCCAAGGGGTGTACTTCAAAGGTGACCATAGTGATATTCAGCAATGAGGTATGTAGTAGTTTTTCTAGGATGAGTTTGCAAACTTAATATCAGCTGGGCACAGTGGCTCATGCACTTTGGGAGGCTGAGGTGAGAGGATTACCTGAACCCACAGAATTGAGACCAGCCTGGGCAACATGGCAAGATCTCATCTCTACAATAACTCAAGAAAAATTAGCCATGTATGGTGGCACATGTCTGTAGTTCCAGCTACTTGGAAGTCTGAGGCCTTCAGAAGGATTGCCTGAGCAAGCAAGTCAAGGCTGTGGTAGCCATGAGTGTGCCACTACACTCCAGCCTAGGTGACAGAGTGAGACTCTGAGTCAAAAAAAAAAAAAATGGTCAGATTTCAAACATTTATAATTACCATCTCTCTATCTCCTCTTATTCTCCCCTAAATGAATAAACAGTGAACAGTCTGCTCTCTTGTAAAAGTTTACAACTAAGAGAACATTTTACTTTAAGTCATGACTTTCTTCCCGTTAATCTTGAATTGAATACCCTCTACAAATAATCACCCAAGGGATTCCTGAAAGCATTCAGGCCCACATGACCTTTTGTTAAATGGTATCACCTCAAAATCCCAATATGATGACAACTCTGACATCGAATAATTCAGTGTAAAAATAATGCCCAACAGATACAGACATCAACACAGTAATAATCTGAAAAGCTAAGATGTCCATTCTGCACATCTCCTACCACCTTGCTCCCTGTTTGGAGCTGACAACCCCTCCTAAAGAGAAATCAATGGCACAAAATGCCAACTGTAGCAAATAAGAACAGTAATACATACCTAGCCTGAGCCCAGGAGGTCAAGGCTGCAGTGAGTCATGATGATGACACTGTACTCCAGTCTGAGCGAGAGTGAGACTTCAACTCAGAAACAAAAAACAGTATTCAGGTTGAGGACCCCTGATCCAAAATGCTTGGAACCAGAAGCATTTTAGATTTCAAAGTTTTTCAGATTTTGAAATATTTACATTATACTTACTAGTCGAGCATCCCTAATCTGAAAATCTAAAATTCTCCAATGAACATTTCCTGAGAGTACATATTGGTGTTCAAAAGATTTCAGACTTTGGAGCATTTTGGATTCCAGATCTTCAGATTACAGATGCTTAACCTCTATCTATAGCCAGTTTCTTTCACACAACAACAAATAACCAGTAGAAAAGTATACAAAGATCTGACCTTGCAAAACTTATGAAAATAATGTTTAGCCAAAAAAGAATTTGAAATGATATACCTATGTCAATTCCTCTTCGGAGAGTACTTTTGTCGGAGTCCTGGTGACCAATCAGATCTTCTACCCAGTGAATATAATTGAGTCTCAAGGGAACAGTGGGAATTAGTCTCTCCAGCGGAATATCAATAGAAAGTCCAAAATCTTCCCTTAGGAGAGTACAAGTCAGAGCTCTAACTGCTTCAGGGTCTTTAAAATTAAGACTGAGGGGTGGAGAAAAAGAAGTAAAGATGATTAGTAAGATTCTCTACAAGCTCTATGGCAACCTGGCAATACCAAGTGACCATTTTACATTTCCTAGAGAGATCGCACATAGTATACAGAGCATTCAGCACAGTAGTATATATACATGGGTGTTTAACACACTCACAGCATGTGAAAGGCAATATACTTCTCCACCAAAAACATTGTATATCTATACATGGAACATAGAGATTAAGAGTGTCATTGTTTAAAACCCTGCCTGATTGTCCCCTAACTTAGCCATGTCACTTTGGACAAGTTATTTACCTCTATGAGAATATTTCCTCAGCTGTAAAATGGGAATAATAGTACCAGTATCACAGGGCTGCTGTGAGATAATCTGTGAAAAGTACTTAGCAGAATGCCTGGCATGTAGTAACTATTTTACAAATGCTGGCTATTTTTTTGGTGTTACCATTAACACCTGACATTAGCATTCTTTGAAAATCAAACTCTTGGCCGAACTCAGTGGTTCAGCCTGTAATTCCAGCACTTTGAGAGCCTGAGGTAAGCAGATTGCCTGAGCCCGTGGGTTCGAGACCAGCTGGGGCAACTTGGCAAGACCTCTTCTCTACAATAAATTAGCTGGGCTTGGTGTGCCTGTAGTTCCAGCTACTTGAAAGTCTAAGGCAGAAGGATTGCTGGAGCCCAGCAACAGGTCGACGCTGGGGTAGCCAGGAGCATGCCACTGCACTAGCCTGGACAACAAAGTGAGACTCCAACTCAAAAAAAAAAAAAAAAGAAGAAGAAAAAAAATCATACTCTTAAAAGTGGAAAGAAAGAAGTACAAAAATGTTTAATAATGAAAATAGGTTAAGACATTTAAATATAACAAACATTATACACATCAAATTTAAAACTTTATTCTTAGTAGCTTTACGAAGAATAACTTATATACTATAAAGTTCACCTGTAAATGTACAAATGAATATACTAGTTTTTAGTATATGATATATAAATATATAATAAATAAATAATATACTAGGCCAGGCACGGTGGCTCACGCCTATAATCCCAGCACTTTGGAAGGCCAAGACAAGAGAACTGCTTGAGCCCAGGACTTCAAGATCAGCCTGGATAACATACTGAGACCTTCTCTTTACAAAAATAAAAAAAAATAGCTGGGTGTGGTGTCACATGCCTGTAGGCCCAGCTACTCAGGAGGCTGAGAAGGAAGGATTGCCTGAGCTCAAATGGTTGAGTATGCAGTGAGCTGTGATCATGCCACTGCACTCCAGTCTGGGCAACAAAGCGAGACCCAGTCTCTTAAAAAAATTAAAATTAAAAATAAATCTCTCAAGGAGTATAGCTCCTATGAGCCCATTATGAAGAAATTCCTAATGGAAAAAGTTCAATCAACAGATAAATGAAGGAACTACAGTAAGTCCTCACTTAACATCATCAATAGGTTCTTAGAAACTTTGACTTTAAGGGAAACTACGTAAAACAAATCCAATTTTTTTCCTCATCAACATCATAAGGAAATAACTTTATTCAAGGATCTGGTATTTATCATTTCACTTAAAGTCACAGTTTCCAAGAATCTACTGACAACTTTAAGAACTTACTGTATAGCAAAAGGATTGGCATTAAGCATAGAAACAATTTCAACCAGAAAGCCAAGATTAAGACACCTGAGAATTGTGGCTACAATTCACTTATTACATAAAAAAAAGTAAGTGCTTACAAAGCATGATAACATACACATAATTAAAATTCAGACATGATGACTCACACCTGAAATCCCAACACTTTGGGAGGCCAAAATGGAAGGACTGCTTGACCCCAGGAGTTTAAGACCAGCCTGGGCAATATAGTGAGACTTTGTCTCTAAGAAATAAAAAATCAGCTGGGCATAGTGGTGTGTGCCTATAGGCTTAGCTACTTGGGAGGCTGAGGCAAGAAGACTGCTTAACCCCAAGGGATCGAGGCTACAGTGAGCTGTGATCATGCCACTGCATTCCAGTCTGGGTGGTAGTGAATCCACAACTCAAAAATTAAATTAAATTAAATTAAATTAAATTAAATTCAGGGCAGGACACAGGAAAGAGAGGAAATACATTACTACCTCATTTTTTTCTTTCTTCTTTTTTAATCAGGGTTTCACTTTTTCATCCAGAATGGAGTACAGTGGCACAATCACCACTCACCACAGCCTCAACCTCCTGGGCTCAGGTTTTCCTTCCAGCTCAGCCTCCCAAGTAGATAGGACTACAGACACACACCACAACACCCAGTTTATTTATTTACTTTTTTTTTTTCATTAGAGTCTCACTCTGTCGCCCAGGCTGGAGTGCAGTGGCATGCTCATGGCCACTGTAGCCTCGACCTGCTGGACTCAAGTGATCCTTCTGCCTCAGACTTCCAAGTAGCCGGAACTACAGGCTACCATGTCAGGCTAACTTTTTTTTTTTTTAAATTGTAGAGACGAGGTCTCGCCAAGTTGCCCAGGCTCATCTCAAACCTGCGGGCTCAGGCAATTCTCTCGTCTCAGCCTCCTAAAGTGCAGGGATTACAGACTGAGCCACAGAGCCCGGCCTCCAGTTTTTTTTATTTTTTTTTTATTTTTTAGAAACAAGGTCTTGCTATGTTACCCAGGCTGGTCTTAAACTCTTGGGCTCAAACAATCCTTCCACCTCAGCCACCCAAAGTGTTGGGATTACAAGTGTGAGCCACCACACCTAGTCTTAATCTTTTATATATAGGGCCAAAAGATTTCATTCAAAGCTAATAAATTAGAAACACTGGCTCTTCCTGGTTCCACAGCAGACTGCTTTTGGACTCAAGCTGCAACTCTGGAGTCACCTAGGATCCACAATCGTGTGAGTCAATTCCTCATATACATCCTATTGATTATGTTTCTCTGAAGAACATTGCTCAACTACATTCTATTTGTTACTGTCCACAGAGATAAGGAGCTTGTCGAGGGTGTGTTTAATATAACCATAAGGGGGCTGGGTGCGGTGGCTCAAGCCTATAATCCCAGCACTTTGAGAGGCTGAGGTAAGAGGATTGCCCAAGCCCACAGGTTCAAGACCAGACTGGGCAACTTGGCGAGACTTCATCTCTACAACAAATCAAGAAAAATTAGACAGGTGTGATGGCGCATGCCTGTCGTTCCAGCTACTTGGATGGCTGAGATGGAAGGATCACCTGAGTCCAGCAGGTCGAGACTGCAATCGCTATGAGTGTGCCACTGCACTTCAGACTGGGCAACAGAGTGAGACTCCAACTCAAAAAACAACAACAACAAATATATATATATATATAAAACTATAAGGGTTCTTTAAAGTAGAAGAGGAAGGGCCAGGCTTGGTGGCTCAGCCTGTAATTCTAGCACTTTGGGAGGCCAAGGTGAATGGATTGCCTGAGCCTGCGGGTTCGAGACCAGCCTGGACAACTTGGTGAGACCTCATCTCTAATGATAAAATAAAAAAAATAGCCAGGCTTGGTAGCACGCACCTGTAGTTCCAGCTACTTGGAAGGCTGAGGCAGAAGGATCGCTGGAGCCTAGCAGGTCAATGCTGGGGTGGCCGTGAGCGTGCGTGCCACTGCACTCCAGCCTGGGCAAAGGAGT